AATTTTTACTTTATTAGAAGATCATCTATACATGTTCCAAAAGCCAAAAAAAAAATGTATTATTGTATTTTATGCTGGATTGTTAAAATCTGACTTTGATTCATTCATAGTGATTGACCATGGTAGACACACCTCTACACATGTGGTATTAATAGAGCAAAAACAGTATTGTATGTTGTAATAATAATATTTTTTATTTGTCAGAAAGTTTGGGAGATAGTAGCATATTTTTGAGAAGCGCATTTCTTTTTTATAAAGACTGCTTTTAAGAAAGAAGTGCTCTTTATTTTCTATTTTGTTGTATGTGTTCAGTTATGGTGCTGTTGGTGGAGGGGGTGTCATTATTGTTTAACTAGATCATTACATTATGAGGTACATGTACTGTTGCCATGGACACCTCTGCACATTTCTACTAATCAATATCGTGTTATAATAATATGACACAAATATTTTCTATTTGTATCTTTACTGAGTGTGTCTGACAAGACAGGATTGGTGTCGTTTGCTGAGAAGCTGCACAACCTGGGACTAAAGTTGATTGGATCTGGTGGGACAGCGGAAGCCATCTGAGATGCTGGTATTCCAATCAGGTGATGTCTTATTTTTTGACAAAATAATATCTTGTCACATTCTATAAATACTGACAAGCATTATAAATTGAGACTTTAGGGAATTTAGTTTTAACTTTCACAATCAACAGAACAAAAATTGTAATGAGAATCTCCTTAAAAATGTTTACAGCGGACACAAGATATTTAAATACTCCCGCACCTGGTAGGCATACTGAGGGACTTAGCAACATCCCCAGAACACTTTCCTAGACACTCCAATGACCGTGTAGACGCAATTAAGTTACATACCCGCTCAATAATAATAATTTTCATTTTATTCTTGTTTTGTATTATAGCGATGTGTCTGATGTAACTGGTGCACGTGAAATGTTGGGAGGTAGAGTTAAGACGTTACATCCAGCTGTACATGGAGGTATGACAGTAAATGATAATTTCATTAGATTTTGTGATAACAGAAAGCAGCAGCTGTTGTTGTGATGTCTGTGTGTTGTACTCAAATGTCAGGTGATTATGGGGTAAACCACATCACCAATATTAAATATGTCACATTAGAACACTTTCCTGTGTTTACATTGGACACAGAAATGTATACATGTAACTCGTAATAAAACCATAATCCTGTCACTGATCACAAATGTTCACACAGAGAAAAACAATTTTCATCAGCATTTTTTGCTATCATCTTTTAGTAAATTACATTTATTAGTACAAACAGAAAAATCATTCCGCAAAGTATGGACTGGAGCAGTACTGACTCGCAACGATCTCTGCTGTGTGTTGGTCGATAAACGTGCTTTGTTGTATTCAAATAACCTCAATAATATTCATAGTTTAAATTTTGATGGCATAACATATGTAGGAATCAGAGAACACTATTGGCTTTAGTTAACATGGAATGTAAAATTTCTCATAATTTATGTTCTGTTCTTAGATTATTATGTGTTATGTTCTTGCAGGCATTTTGGCACGTAATTCAGAAAGCGACCGTGCTGACATGAAAAAACAAGATTTTAAATACATCAAGTAAGTTATGACAGAGTGCCAAATGCTTATGCAAAATGCATCTCATTGGTCATTCAATCCTTCATACCTACCAGCTAACCCAATTACAGAACACCTTTCTATTTGCTCTCATTGGTCATTCAATCCTTCATACCTACCAGCTAACCAATTACAGAACACCTTTGTATTTGCTCTCATTGGTCATTCAATCCTTCATACCTACCAGCTAACCAATTACAGAACACCTTTGTATTTGCTCTCATTGGTCATTCAATCCTTCATACCTACCAACTAACCAATTACAGAACATCTTTCTATTTGCTCTCATTCACAATTTGATTTGAGCATTGACTGTTGAATATTATAAATATCTATTTGTCTCATTACCATTATGCTGTTTATCTGTAGGTTGGTTGCTTGTAATTTGTATCCATTTGTAAACACTGTATCAAAAGAAGGTGTGACTGTAGCGGAAGCTGTGGAACAAATTGATATTGGTAAGTAAAGAAGCAGGGTTCTCCCCAGGGCTTTTTAGCACCGAGGTCCGCGGCGCTATACCTGTGAATCTCGGCGCTTCACTTGGGACCTCGGCGCTATGTGTTCCCACCTCGGCGCTTGATTTCATATTTGACATGCCAATATCAGATGTGAAAAATCTTTGTTCGCCACGTCGGTCGGCCCCGACTGTCACTCAAAATTAGTGACCACCACGGAAATGCGAGGACTATTGTCTGATTGTTAGTATAATTACGTACCGACCGACACGCATCCTGTCAGTCGTGGATTATAATTTATAAACAATAGACCTAGTCGCACGATACGTAGCGGCTAGTCAAATTTGTGGAATTAGCACCTCTTTGTTTGTAAGTAAATATTTTCTGCGATAGACACAGTCTTTAGATTGAAAGCTAAAATTATTTCAAAATCAATTCCACCTCGATATAACATGGTCAAATCAGAGTTCACGATCAGTTCACGCTACTCAAGAAAAAAACAACGTGTTTATTGCGTTATTTGGTAAAATACATTTGAACTGTTATCATTGCGAATCATGTAAAAACTCTTCTTTCAAGACCTAATTTACCTTTTAAAAATTGCAAATCACCTATTTCGAAAGCTATCATGCAGTTGTCAATTGAAATCGATGCCAACACATCGTGCTACGACATTCGCTTTACTTCCGCAATGTAATCTTTATGATCACTACCATTCGGGAAAACTTCGGGTTCTACCGGCATTACCATGCGGCATTTTGATTGGTTAATGGCATTCTTGACCCATCGGGTCAAAGGACACAAACATCATGGCGGGTCTGGTTTTTTTTACCGAAGCGATCAAGTGATCAAAAATAATCGCTCCAGATAAAAATAAGTCGGATTTTACTTACATTTCATATCAAAAAAAAAAAAAGTTAAATTTGTTGAGGAATTATTGCTATAACTGGTGTATAACATGGCCAAGTAAGTTATGTCACGTCGTAACTTTGATGATCGTTTTGAAGCTTTATTTGTTCGCTCATTACTGTAATTGTAAACGTTTTAGAAGTTGATGGCACGAATAATAAATTACAACAATACGTCAATTACGTGATCGATTTTTTGAAGGAGAATGTTTTTGGAGTGAATAAAATTATGAGATTCGTGAACATAAATCTGGCTTAACGTTTTGAATGCGTTTCCTTCAACGTTTTACAAAACAATTAAATTGCAACAATAATTTATTTGTGTTTGTTTTTAGTCTGCAGCATTTGTATTTCGAGAATGTTTCAAACTCTTCTAAATTGTGAAACATAATGTGTTCATTCCATTAAAAAAAATATTTGCCCTGTGACTGAGCTCACTAATATTCATAATTGTAAATAAGTTCTGTTAATGAAGGAAAGATATGTAAATGATATGCAAATTATTATGCAAATTAGCCCCGGCGCTATGAATTTTTTCTGGGGAGAACCCTGGTAGATG